AAAGTAAATTATTTAGTGCTTTATTTAAAGTATTAGAATTAAATTATTTGATATAAATATTCGTCTGAAATTTTAAATTTAGCTTTTAACCCTTAACTTCCCAATTTTTTAAATTTCTATGAAAAACTTATATCAGCTACTTCTTAAGTAATAATAAAAGGGAAAAATATTTTTTTAAAAAAATTAAGCAGTTTTAAAGTGAATTTCAGTCATTTTTTTGTTTTTTGCAGAAGTGCAACATTGCGCAGTAGTGATGTAAAATTACAAAACTTTTTTTAATATGAAGATTTTATTATTCATTGTTATAAATTGCTTTAGCCTTACATACAATGAACATTTTTAAAGCAGTTATTGACTTTGTTGTAAAAAGTCCCCTACTTTACACTTTTCGCACACAGTTTGAGTGTAGCTCTTGCAGTTTGGAAACTTGCACCATATTCTTTTCTGATCATATTGGCCAATGATTTATACCATCTCTACAAATGTCCTTACATGGAACGGATTGGGCAGTCCCTTTGCATCTTTTAGTGAGACATTTGTTCTATTGAAGTATTACTAGGTCTTCCTCTTTTAGCATTTCGATCGTTCCCCATTTTGCATAAGCATGATGCAACTTCAGATTTGAATTTTTGTAAATTCATTAGATTTTTTTTTTATTTTCAGATTTCTTCATTGTTTTTTAATTCGATCAAATCCAAGCTCTTCTGACCAGTATGCTCTATAGTTTGGCAGGTGAACTAGAGATGCATAAATGCAAATACCCAAATATTGATTTATTTCATTCTCTGATATAGTCAAAGGCTTACTTGGATTCTTTTGAATAGCATATCATTTGCTGTCTTCATAAATGTTACTGTATGATCTCTTCCGTCCATAAATATTTTAAAAAATTGGTACGGTAGTGTCCAAATCCGTAATTTCTCTTGGGAGCGTGTCATCTCTATGGAATTTTATTACTTCTTCAATCAATGAAACGTTTTGATTTTTCCATAAAATATTCTTTGACAATGTTTTATTATTCTTAACAGTTAAATTTAAAAAAGGTTCTTTCTGACTGAAATATACCAGCGGCCGAGCGGTAAAATCGCTGAACATTGGTAGTTCGGTCCGAGGTTCGAATCCCGCGAACGGGGCTGGCTGCATAGTCGTTTTCCCCATGTGTAACTTGTATACAAGCCAGTTTCCCGTAGAAAATCCTTCACGAAGTCATCCCTCCCCGTAGGCAGATAGCCTCTCGAGGCTTTGCTATAATCACACACACTGACTGAAATATTTCTATTAAATTTATTATCATCATCATCGGTTTTTTTTAATATTCTGAATTGTATTTTGTGAAACAACACTATTTGCACAGTCGCTATCCGAATCATCATTAGATGACACACAATCAGGTAAAAAATCAACATTATCATCAGAATATTCAAGACCATTCCTCACTTAAATCACTTAATTTGTCCAAATTATTCATATATCTAGCAATTTCATCTTGGGTTAGTATACGCGTTTTGGCCATGTCAAAATGGTAACCAAAGAGCCAATGTTGCAGAACCTGCAACGTATAATTAAAATGAAATTTCTTTCAAACTTTTTTCATTAGAAAATCAAACCTACTTTTAAATGAACATAAAATGTTTAAATTTCTTACCTGGTAATGTTTATTACGTCAATAAACAAAGGGGAAGCATAAAATATAATGGATTCTCTTTTTATAGCAAAAACACAGTTCTTGAGGCAACAGAGATTTTTACAATTGTTGTGATTTCTGGAAAAAATGTGCTGCTATCTAGTGACAAAATTAGCATGCATTTCGTTGCAGTAATCTGTTTTTTCTCAGATAAGTGATTTGTAGGTAATTAAAAAAAATATTGAGTCTGTTAAATTAAAATAAATCATAGGTTGCAGAAATGCAACAGTGGGAAGTTAAGGGTTAATGTGTTTGAATTACAAAGTGTAGCTATTAGAAATTTCTTGCCGACTAAAACCGTTAGATTTCAGAAAGAAAATAAGTATAAATTAAAAATTTTCCTTTGTGTTATTATTATTACTAGATAAAAATCAAAATTCAGTTAAAAACTTATGTTTAAAAAAAAAAAATCATTTTTGGTGAAAAAATTGACCCGTCAACTACTTTCAGATCCTGCATTCGACGTGCATATAAATTTAAGTTTAAATCAGTTTTATTTCTTTATATCTCAACTGAAAGGAAACTAAAATTTTTATAATAATCTACATATGTATAAGTTTCGATAGAAATTGACTTACTTATCCATGCTATTTAGATTTACTTTTTAATTTCCTCAATATTTGAATATTCATTTTTTCTATAAAATTGTAATAAAATGTAATTTAATTTTTTTTTAACTTTCATACGTATATGTTAAGAATTTAAATTTGTTTTAAAATTTAAAATAAATATATACTTTTCACCATAAAATAATTTATACTATATTTTTTTCTATTTATTAACATTCTTAGAAGTATACAGGTTTCCTACATTTCCTTTTTTTTAATACTACAATAATGCTCTCAAAATAATTTTGTATATCTTCCTTTGCATATGTTACCTGCAAAGTTTGAACTCCGGCATTCTGTAGAATGCCTAAAACTAGTGGCAATGTATGAAACGTTTCATATTTCAGACATTTCCAAATATTTCCATTTTATATAGAATGCCAAATGAGAAACCAGCAAAGTCTGAAATATATCTCCGATTTCGTATATAAATACAGAGGAGCAGCTAGAAATAGTCATAGAAAGCGTCCAAATAATGGAAAAAAGTGAAACTAATCAGATTATGCAAGAAAAAGAGCCACCTTTAATGGATCATGTTATAGTCGATACTGGATTAAACCAACATGATGAAGACATGCTTACTGAAGAGATTTCCGTTATACCTGGTGTGTATAAAGGAAACCAGTGATGCACTTGCATACAAAAAGTATCGTCAGAAAATTCATACCTTCTGTGGCCATGCTAGTAAAGATGATGAAATGGATATTTTGTGCACCCTTTGTTTCAAAACTGAAAATTTTTTTCAAAAATTTCAAAGATTCGCAAATGTGTGTGTGAAGCAAAGTGCCAAATTATGAAATGTCTTCATGAAAAATTGTAATGTCTTCGTGTCTTTGCCTGAAAAATGTAATGAAATGCAATTCAAAATGTCACTCAAGCCTACCATGTTGCAACAAATAGGTTAACTTTAATTTCTTATTTTTTATATGAAAATTTTCTTAAGAAAGGCATAAATTTTGTTTTACACAAATTTAATTTTTCTTTACATATTTTGAATAACTTTTTTAATAGCACTCTCATTATGTTTTCAGAATAACATTTGTATTTTTGAGGAATGCACATCATTTATAGGATATATATATTTTTATAAATCATTTATATGATACAGTCAAAAGTCGTTAATCCGGACTCGTCGGGACTTCGGCGATTCCGGATTATAGATCATCAGTTTAAATCTGGTAAGATGGCAAGCAGAAATTACAATATTAAAAATATGAAACTGTAATTTATGAAATAAAGAACAATTATGATCTAAAGGGTATCAAAATTTACAAAGAGAGAAAGCTTAATATTTATTTGTTTACTTTATTAAACATTTCTTTCAATGTAAGTTGTTTAAGTTCCTTCGTTTCATGTGATAATACTTTCTCTTTAATTCTATTAAACAGACATAATATCTTGTTTAGTTACAAAGTTTCGCTGTTCAAGTCCTATAATTGCTGTGTCGAGAATACCGACTAATTTGTCAATCGAAATTTTTTCGTTTTCAAAAACCTCTGTGTCAGTTTCTTCACTATCGGAAGCGAATTATAATGACGAGGAACTTGATTCAAATCATATCAAAGACGGAGTACATCGAGATGAAATACTACATTTAGTAAGGAATTATAAGCCAAATAAAATAAAAACATCTGCCCTGAAGATAAGGATAGTGCTGACAGATGAACTTCGAATTCATTGCTCGCCGCGGCGCCCCCCCCCACCGCAGAGCAGCGTGAAATTGATAAACAGATTTCGGATTTCGAAACATACTTTCACTTTGTACATCCTTTACATATTAGTAAATATATATCGGAAATTCTATTTGACATAATCGAAAGTTCAAGCTTACTTTTATAAAATTGCTCTAACAGTCTGCAAAAAATAATAAGCCGGATCCAATTCGAAGATTAAGGGAACAACGCAATCTGCAACATTAACTGAATTACATAATTTTAGCTAGCTTATACCACCCGTTATACATTAAACGCGCATATGTAAACGTATTATGCGCATGCGCACACGCATATTCGCAGCCGTAAAGATCTTACGCGCACGCGTAAACGTCTATGCGCATGCGTCAATGGGACGCATACGCAGAAAGTTTGTAGCTTAGCTTTGAAGTCCGGATTATAGATCATTCCGGATTATGGGTGTCCGAATTAACGACTTTTGACTGTATATATATTTATACGATATATACTCATATTATCAGGCTTTATCAGGACCTTTTTTTTTCATACTTTACCTAAATAGCATTTGTCATTCTATAGAATACAGTCAATTAGGTCTTTTATACAATACCTAAGGAAAGTATGTAATAATTCTTATATTTCATACTTTGCCTAAAAACGTCAAGCATTATATACAGTGCCTAGGCATTCTATAGAATGCCAGCGTTTCACTTTGCCGATAACATATATAACAGAAATCATTACAATATTATATATTTTATGGCTGTAAGCGATATAAAAAATTAGTATGTGCCATAATTTAGCCGCTTTTCAGTTAAAAAATGATACCTACCTGATTGCAGAAATGCCTTCAAATAATACAATGATAAGATCTTAATTTCACAGTCATTATTTTAATGAATGAATCTTAACATATTTATTACGTATTTAACACGTATTTTATACTATTAACTTTTATTACTGAATATATATTTGATTAATGTGTTATGAACAATTTATTTCATTAATTTCTTAAAAAATAATATGGGTACTGACCTCATTATGCCTGAAAAGAAGATACTCATTTGGCTTCTCTGATTGACACCATGTACTGTTCATTGGTTTTGGATCTAAATGATCATCGTTGGAAAGCATGCAACATGTTTTTGAAACTATGTCTCCTTTTCCAAGATTCTGGGTTTTCCAGGCACTTTCCTCGTAGTCTTCCGGGCCAAAAACTCCGCAACAATTAAACTAGCGAAAATTAAGAAAGAATTTTTGTAAATAAAAGTAACATTCGTATTTGAATATAATGTGCGAAATGAAAACAAGCTTTCGAACGTAAATAATTTATTACTTTGGAATACGAAACGTTTACCATTCATCATTTCCTATTAAATATAGGGTGAGAACAGAAACAGTTTTCGGTTCGAAAGGGTACAACTTTGATACTGAAAGAACAAAGTTGCGCTGTTTTAACGTAGGATTACGTTCCTCCATGATGGTCTGATGGGAAAGCAAAAATTAAGACGCAGTTTTGAGAAACACGCGAATGGTTATTTCTTTGAAACTACAAATGTTATAATCAATCTAAATATATCTTCAGATAGATGAAAGAGTACATTAGTAAACGCACACGCATAATATATATTAAACATTGGACAAACGATATACACATAGTAACGCATCAAAAATAGCGAAATTTTGGTGAAGCGCATCACCGCGTGCGAGTGGCAAGGTCGTCTGGTAGACAGTCAGTGTGTTCGGGTGGTGTTTCATTTTATTTCACCAAGTTAGTGGTGTTGCAATTAATAGAAATTTGAGTGTAGCAGATTGTGTACCAACAGAACTTAATGTTAAACAGCGTAAGGGAACACAGGATTCAGAAGCAGACAATATTTTTATGTTTGATGTAATTGTTAATGGATTTATTCTATCATCCGTATATATTCATTCAACTGTTAATTCAGGAGATATGAAGATGTTCTTTAGTTAGTAGTTTTATACCCAACCATCGAGGTGGGGGATTTAAATTAAAGTAGGTATTGCAAGATACAGGGTTGTTAACTAAGCGGAAAAGATTTGGAGGATGACCTAGAAAATGACAGAACGTATCTTATGCATGTGAGTCTGTATATGTTTGCAGGCATTTTATAAGCTCAAAATCTCGTCTTCTAATTTCTGCGCAGATTCTTTAACAAGATCACAATGATGTTTACTGTTTCAAAACTCATCGGCAGATATAAAGTATAGAAGCAAACAAGTTTCAGAGCAGAGCTTTTTAAAAATTACGATACGTACATCTAAATCTGTGTTTCATTTAAATGTTGTACATGAAAATACAGAATTTTACGGAAAATGTAATATTTCTTATCATATTACTTACCTTTGTTTGAGCAAAATCGAAAGCCTCCGTCAGCTGCCCACTAATGCCATATTCATTCTTCAGGACATCTGATAAATTCTCCAGTTTGTCCAAAGTCTGTTTCAAATTAATGATAAATTATATTTTACTTTTTACACAAATTTAAAATGTATAAAGTGCATGAGTGCAATTTAAATATTATGTAAAACTCAAGTAAAATTGGATCAATTGTATCGTATGATGCAAATGTTGGGAAAATATTATGATTCACTAAAGCATTCAGTTCAACAATCACTATAGTGAGCGAAAGAAATCTTTTAATAAATACGGTAATAGACAAAACAAAAACTTTATATCTAAAAATAGCAAATGGAAAATAACTAAATAAGTAAACTTACTTTATCTTGAAATATAACACTTAGTATACCAACAGCGAGTTCAGCACCCATTACCAAGAACAGGAAAATGAAGTACTAAAAAAAGAAATATAAGTCAAAATATATATATATATATTTTTTTTTTAAAGACAACATCAATTTAATACCAGTTTGAAATACATCACCGCGGAAATTTTTATGTTGGTATAAATGTATGATTTGCAATAAGTTCTGTACTTCCGTATACAGTAGGTCTCCGGACATCCGGATTAACTAGGACAGCAGTCCGTCTAAATATCCGAATTCGGAATCTTAAATGCCTGAAGCCCGGATAGTTATATTTCTACTGTACTTTAGAAAATGAACCATTATGTATTTCACTAAAAGTGTAACTTTACTAAAAATGTAATTACTAAAAAAGTAAAAGCAAGAAATGTAATAAATAAAAATAATAATAATCTTTCCTCAGAAGTATACTGAAAATCTTGAAAAATGCGAATAATCGACAGAGTTACTGTTTAGTCATCATTTATTAGTAACAAAGAAATTCATAAGTTGACAGGAAATTAAAACAGAACTTCTAAATCAGCAATTATAATACGGGCAAAGAAAGAGAAACCAGTTTATATATATAGTACAAATATATATACATAGTACAAAGTCTGTAATCCGGACGTCCATAATCCGGAATGATCTATAATCCGGACCTCAAAGCTACAAACTATATGCGTTTATGCATGCGCGTTTAACGTATAACAGACGGAATAAGCTAGGCTAAAATTATCTAAGGCATTTCAGTTTATGTTGCAGATTGCGCTCTTCCTTAATCTTCTAATTGGATCCGGTTTATTATTTTTTGCAGACTGTTAGAACAATTTTATAAAAATTAAGCTTGAACTTTCGATTAGTTCAAAAAAGAGTTTTCAATTCTGGAACTGCCAAAAGATCTACAAAGCGAAAGCATGTTTCGATGTCCATTAAACAAAAAGTGGAATTAATAATAAATAAATTATATTAAAAGATAGATAAAGGCCTATCCGTCTCAAAATTATGCGAAAAGTATGGCATTGGAAAGCCCACTATATGTGATACAAGAAGAAGGAACTTTTTGAATTTTTTTGTGGAAGCATCTTAAGCAACTTAAATTGAAAGAAATGTTTAATAAAGTAAACAAATAAATATTCTTTTTTTGTAAATTTTGATACTCTTTAGATCATAATTGTTCTTTATTTCATAAATTATGATTTCATATTCTTAATTGTATCATTTCTGCATGCCATTTTACCAGATTTAAATTGATGATCTATAATCCGGAAAAACCCCTAATCCGGAATCGCTGAAGTCCCTACGAGTCCGGATTACGGACTTTGTACTGTATATATATATATATAGCCATCTGAGTATCGCATTAAACCAGCGTTTTTGAAGTGGGAACCACTTTTATAAATTAGAATGTTCTGAGGACCACCTTACTCTTGTTCCCCCTCGAGAGCAATTTTTTTAGCATGTGTTGCTATCAGTATAATTTCATTTCTAATATAATTAATTAAAACTCTTTTATATCGATATTAAGATAATAGAAGAAAATTCGTGTTCGTGTTTCATAATTCATATATTTTAGAGTTTGGATAATCTTTATCTTATTAACTAAAAATTAAATAAATGTAATATCACCTCATGTTAATGAGATAATCATCTCCTATTAATGCCAATTTAATTACATTAAACAATGTAATGGACGAGCCTGCCTATTTTTCCTCAACTCTTCTATATTTGGATGTTTGCCGGCAAGCTTGTAGAATGATTTAGGATTTTTGATGCTGGGGACATGGCCCTCGCTGTGACTCTGGACATCTCGAATAAGCTTCGAGTGTGCTACCGTTACACCATGAAAACATGTTGGAAGGGAGGGGAGAAAATAATCGGCACATATATCAAGTCGATTTCAGCATTTTGCTTTTATTTGAGTTAATGATGAACATTTTCTTACGCAGAAGCAAACTGAATTATAATTTTTAAAGCCTAACTGTGCAGGTAATTGAAATCCGTTTTATCTGGTAATTAGCTAAGCGCCGCTAGATATGCAGAGGAACGATGGCGAGAAGCATCATAATCATAGTATTTTAAATCCTTTTTTTTTTTGTTGTTTTTTTGTTGTTGTTGTTGTTGTTGTTGTTGCTAAAACTACATTGGGAAGTCCATAGGTAGAAGTCATCTGTAATAAATTTCATAAATTTCTGGTCTGGGAAGAAAACGTGATAGACGATTATCATGTGTAATTTCCAAACCCTGAGATTTCTCCGATTTAGCGTTAGTTAAACTAGACATTAGATATCTAAATTTACTAGAGGTTTGTTACATTCTTATTTTCTGTTAATTTCAATTAGCCACAAGTGGTGGTGAATTGTGTGCACCAAGTGCGTGCATCTGTTCATTTAGTTAAAATAAAAGGTTACTGAAAAACCTTCTTCCGCAGTATTTATTCTTCAAGACATAGCGAGTATTTGCTACTTCGTCTTCTACATAGAGTCCACGTTGTATTCTACCTTAAAGAAAACACAAACTCTATAGAGTAAACTGTGTTTCATTTGTGAAAAGAACAACTGATTTCTGCTGTTCAATCAAGTTGCTGAGCCGGTAGTAATCGTCTTTTACTATTATATGCTAGAAGATAATGGAATGTCTCTACGTTTTCCATAAATACTACACTAATGAAATTGAGTTTTGATACTCTAGAGCGGAGTACTGTTTGCTTTGTAAATGCTATAAGCTTTCCAAACAATTCCAAACTAGGGCTATCTACCTGAGGATTATTATGCATCAACGATTAAGATCAAATATCAGGCATCTGGAAATGACATCTCTATAATATAACAAAGTACACTGCGCCCAGCCCAAAAAAAGACAGTTCTATATCTCCACTACTTAGGGTATATATTAGATTTATATGTAGTTTTGTTCTATCGTAGATATTTTGACACTAAATCTGACTTTTCCTGAAATAACATACCGATTTTTTTTCCATATTTTGATTCTACGACTCAAATTATGCCTAGATATTAATTTTTGTAATTTTTGGTGAGAAATTTAAAAATTTATCTTGGCAATTCTTTTTCAGTTTGCGCCAAGAATAATTCACTTGGCGAACTTCTTAATTTATAGCAACCCATTTAACGTTCCCTTTTCTTCATTGTACAAGAGCGGAAAAAAAAGTCATTGTTCATTATTTCAAATAATTTTTAACAAAGTGCGTGAACCACATTTTCGTTATTATCGCTTATAATAAATACGCCAAATTTCAAAACGCGCTAAAATGTAAATTCACGTATATCTTTAAAAAATTCCAATAAAAAAACTAATTTTTTGCAGATATGTTTAGAAATACAAAAAGTTTTCGAAAAATGTATAAAAAATATTTAAAAATAAGTCAAAAAATAGGCAAATTTTATTTGGAATGAACTAAATTTCGAAATATGAAAGGAAGCATCAAATAAGTTTAATAAAAAAAGATATTAATAATGAAATTCAACTAACATGGAGAAACTAAAATTTTGAGAGCTAATTTTTAAAAGAACTACTCGTGCGGTTTTTACAAAACTTGGCAGTTTGGCATAATTTGAGTCGAAGAATCGAAATTGGAAAAAAAATGGCATGTCATTTCAGAGCATTTTGTCATTACAAAAAAAAAAAAAAAAAAAGTAAGTAAGTCAGATTTTGTGTCAAAATACCTATATTAATACTAGTCAAAATACCTATATAAAGGAGTTAACCTATATAAAGGAGAACAATGACTATATATAAATCTAATACATATCCTAAGTCGCGCTTTCGAGACATGAAAAACGAAAGCTGAATTTCGTCAATCGGCCCAGTAGAACGGGGATTTAGAACTGTCCCTCTTTCCCCCCCTCGCAATGTATATATCAGTTGTTTACTAATCTTTCAATGGAGTTTAGAATTATCTTCATAATCATTACCATTCAGGAAACATCGAGTTGCATTTCAGAAAACAGTGAAATAACCTGTCTTCGAGTATCCTAATCGTGAATCAATAAAGATCATTGCTTAAGCGTTTTCGGTTTGACATTTTCAAATTTTAAGGTATTTTTCTAGTGCTTGCAGAAGAATTTTAGCTTTAATTTTTTTTCCGTCATCAATTATCACACACTTCGATTCTATGTTTCATATCCGTGGAATATCAAATGTGTTTATCTTGTCGTTATTATATTTTTATGTCTACTGCAAATTTTTCTGTTCTTTCAAATTTCTACAATTTTTTCTGGTAAAAAATATGTTACATTCTTTCCTGATTATGCTCAAAAAATGGTTATAGCGCGTAACATTTACACATCAATATAGTTCTACACCTGACATTGATAACCGTATGTTTATTTTCAAGTTATCTACTGTACTGTGACTTGTGGTTTGACACTTTTACTAAATATCAAACTGTTAAATAACTAGAATTTAATACAAATGATAAAGAGAATGAGTCATTTTTTAAACTGAATTGCATGCCAAAATGGAAGTTGAATGCTAGGCATTAAAACAATAATTTCAAAAGCATTCTTTTGAAGTATGACATTTTGAAATAATATACAGAAAATAAATCCATGAAAATAAATCTCAATATTTGTATGCCTTTCGTATGGAAAAAAAAAGAGAGAGAGAGAAGAGAAGGGGGGAAACCGAAAAATTAATCGTCTGTAACCAAATAAAAAATATTAGCGCACACACTAGAGAAATAAAAAGAAGAAAAACATAAATTAATGAATAAACGGAAATATCACTCCATTCTAAGGGTTATTGACCCCTTTCTGTGCTTTATCCGAGGCCAAATACTTTTTCAGACTCCTTTTAATTATTATTTTTGATGCGTTTTAACTGCACAAACTGTAACAGAGGGAAGTATTTTTTAAATGATTTTAACTGCCGGAAATGCGCGAATTTCAGTAAAAGCAACACCTGCGTTATCTTCGCTTTTAAATAATTTGATTTATCAAAATGATACTTCATGGCTTATTACTAACTTCATTATTTTCCATTCAGAATATTTAACTCGCATAAAGATTCAGATTTGTTTGAAGGAATAAACT